TTTTCTAATGATTTCGTTTCATTATTAGGTTATAAATTATTTCGTGGACACGAGTTAACACATCTGAGTAATTAACTTAAACAAAGGAAGACGTACAAATAAGTTAAAAAAAGCGTTTGCATTCTTAAAATACGAACGAAAACTGAGAACTCTGCACGTCACAGAAGATGTCCCTAAAAATCAGACAAACTCACAAATCACCGGCAACAGTCAAAAAATCGAGTTGGCTCATATTCTAGTATTAGGTAGGCCTATAGGTAAAAAAGAAAACCCAGACATATGTAGTTTATTGAAAAATTCTTTTGTTTTCGAGAAAATCGATAAAACTCAATTCACACCGTAATTAGCGTCATTCGAAGGTCGAACTTTGGAGGCCTCGTTTGTACTTGTAAAAGCAATGAAAAACTTATTTACTCCACAGATTTTTATAACAGTGTCTCCCCTATGTTCTTACATAAAAGTAGAATCACTATTAAATTTGAAATAAAATAAGGATTTTTCTATCTATTTACGTAAGTGCCTAGTGAAAAGTAGGGTAACTTCAAAATATTATTTTTGTATGTGCTAAGTGAAAGAAACGTTTAATATTTAAATTAATGTGAGGAGTGGCAACGCTAAACTTACCGTTTGTAGAGTTGTCTTTCTGGAGTTTTTGTGCTGCTATGCAGACGAGGGCTTTAAATTCATAGAAATTTCGCTGTTCGGCGAAGTCGGCGACATAAATGAAAAACAGACTTTGCTTATCATTTGCAGTTTGTGAGATTCAGTGGTAATAATAGAATCTTTAAGGATATAAATAACGTCTTCAAAGTACTTGCAATACGATAAAAGTTGTTTTTGTTTTCTCCGAAAGCAGTCATTTTGCAGAAATGAATAGACATGGTTGTCACTGCGTGACTTATTTGTCACGCGATTGTAGATTTATATTCTGAGTATGCAAGTGGTTTGAAATTTCTTATCGAAATTGAAAGTTGTAGGGAATTTTTTTACATGAAATCTAAAAGGTGCGAAGGAGGGGTTTTGTGTTTAGATAAAAATTCAGATAAAAATTAATTTTCCTGGACTTGTTACTACTTATAGGCAATTAGCAATAAAACGTAACGTCACAGTTAATTTCATCTGATAAAACTTAGTGCGTAACAAATAAACAAATGAGTTTAAAAAGTTTGAAGAATGGAAAATTGTTATTCATTGTTGTGGATGTTTTTGGCTACAATCCAAAAGACAGAAAAAGGATAGGCGAATAGTACCTTTGCTGTCGAATGACAAGGAAATAGCAGGGCATTTACTTCATTTTTCATTCACCGGTGTGTTCACCGAGTATGACTTGATATTGAGTGCAGCAGCTGTTTTCCAACGACCCAACGATGTTTATACATGGACAATATGCCCACTTCATCGCTCAAGACTTGGTCTGGGATAGAATCGAGGAGGAAATACTAGATGCAGAGTGCCTTTTCAATCATTGTCTCATTTAGGCGCGTATATATAGGTACAAGAAACGCAAGCTGTTATTTAACAATGGAATAATGATTCCCTTTAAAAACGTTAGTAATCATATTTTCATCAAACGGTCTTTTTCATCGTATTTCCACGAGTGATATTACATTTAATACCCAAGTTACAAAACATGTATTTCGAATGTGTCCAGCGCTACGGTAGTCCCATGCACATGCGATAAGATCTACGAACAACAACTTAGCGAAGTATTTCTGTCATAACTTACGCTATCATTTTATCGTCTGATTCCTATACGTGAATTTTTAAAAAATGTACGATAGCTAATTCCCAAAAATTACTTAAAAAAACGTTAACCAACGCTGCAAAAAGCAATACAAGGCATGAGGGCCTTTTATCTTTTTTCTTTGTCGACGGGATAAGTTAATCCCTGTTTTATAATACGAAAAATCATCAATTTAAGAAATGAATTTCCTAGGTGAGCTAATATTAACTAAATTGCAGAAAAAAAGCCAAGAGAATCCAGACTTTGACGAGATTCGAATCCTTACTTTCCAGATACCAGCTCTTGTTCTTTTCTGCAATCTCTTCAATTGAGGCTCATCTGCAAGGATAATTTTTTTACTGCCCTCTACTTCTATTTCATCCGAAGGTCGAGAAGTGATTTGTTTCTTTCGATCGTGATAAGGCAATTCAAATGGCACCAACCACAAGAAACAGAGTCACTTTTCAGTTGACAGTATTGAGCGTTTATTCAAGGAAGCTCCGGTAAATCGCTAAAAAATCCTTAAATAGAAGGATTCTAGATTCACAAGCTTTCACCTACATTTTATGTATTAAGGAACGATGTTATTTTTTTGGAATTACAAACGTCAGTCACAGGACAAATCTGGCTAGACCACATAATGACTTTAATTTACGACGGGTGTCCTCCATTAAGCGTCGATTAACGATGTTAAAACCGTCATGTAAATAGAAAGAAAGAAAGAGATGGTAGACTACACCGTGGTCAAATCTATGCGCAAGTGCGATGAGTAGTTGGCGCGCTTTCAGGTTGTCAGAAGCAAGATGTCTCACATGAGTGACAAAAAGAAGAAAAAAAACACGCGCGCACACACACGCGAACCATGGTGTTTTAAAAGCCTCTGACGTTCTTAGCAAAGCTAAAAACAGAATGGTAATGAACAGGATACACGTACTTGTATAAGCTTCGTCCTCGAAAAGTCTGGTATTTTCCTTTTGTCTACTACTATTTCCTCTTCTGTGAACGATTCACTTGTTCTTTCACTCACGCGAAACTATCACTGTGGTTGTTTCTTGGGTTTTCCTCCCTTCTCCTAGCATCCCGCGTGGCTTTACCAAGTTATAGAGCCCGCAAAAATTTGTTCTATATCTCTTAAATGAGCCAAAGATAGTTGAGCTGTTTAGCCCTTCAACTTCTAGTTAATTGTTTAGTAATTCTCTTTTCTTATCTGCTTTTGGTTTCCAGTGAATTCGCAAGGAAAATGTGGTGTTTCATCCAAAAAATCTATTTATCATTAATCATTGATGATAAATAGATTAAGTTTATGAATTTACAACTTTTGCTCGACAATGTTTTTACAATTTTTAAATGATATTGTATTTCAATCACTACTGAAAGTGAAAGGGTACTTTAGCCATAACAACAAACTCAGCCAAGGAAATAAGAAACTCTAAGACCTTAGCAGTAATATACAGAATATATGAGACAGCTAGTCTGTGCTACAGTAGCGGGCATTACACACAGGTACAGCAGAGAAGTAATATACGTAATAGGAGCCACAATTTCTCACTTTGATGCTGGTGGACCATTTACAACAATTTGAAGACCAGTGAAAGCAGACCTTCCTGGTAACCTGACCTTCGGCCACTGTGGAATGAACACCATTTAACCAGCTTGTGATATCAGCCATACAGCTATGAGTAGGTGGACAAGTGGTTGGCATTTTTGTTCCTGCAGCTCCTTGGAAACGATACCAACCATGAGAGATTGAATTGTCGCACAAAGCAGACCCAGCTTTAGGGATTGTGGATTTACGGTTGGCACTGGTCAGACTTGAGTAGCTTAGACACTCCTCAGCTAAAGAAAATATTATCTCGTTTGGTTAAATCATTAAGGAGTGTTCACGCATATGCAAACTCAATGAAGGTTCAAATTCAAATAAATTACAAGTTTTTTTCAACTTGAAAAGACACTTTTGGTCATTTTCAGTGTACCATTTCAAGGATGCCGAGGCTACCATGACGTACCTTGGCACGATGTCCCATTTCCAACGTATCCTTTCTTACAGGTGCAATCGTGAGAGCCCCTAGTGTTGGTACAGTTCGCATTCACGTCACAGACATGGTTTCCATTGCTGCATTCATTAATATCTGGAAGAAACATTGATTTAGAAACTGAGAAAATTTTAACGAAAGAAGAAATTCAAGCTTAACCATAATCAAATCGCCTTTAGAAATTATTTTTAGTACTGAGGCAATAGCTATTGCTGAAAGATACTTTGTTAATACATAATAAGCCACAACAGTTTCATATTAGCAACCAAGCAGCCACTACAGCATTAATCTACTTTTCTTTTCGAAAAAAATCATTTATTGGATGCACAGGTTTAGTTAATGTATGTTGGCATGATTTTCCGTCTCCAACAAATCCTTNGCAGTCATTACACCAAATAGCATTCAAATCATGTCATTACCAACACAAAGATCTAGAGCTTACCGTCCATGTAACTTCCGTAAACGCCTGGTCAAACACACACAACAATTCCGCAACCCAACTTGCAACATGTTTGGGTCCTTGTTATGAGATGTTGCGAAAGAGTTGGTCAAATGCGTTGTACGGAGCCCAGTTAGTGCCATCTTATTCCATCATCTTAGTTTTTCCGGCACGACCTTAACTTTCAGAAAGTTCAAGTCGTGCCGGAAAAATAAAGGCGTGACAGAAAGTTGACATCGTGCCGGAAAGTTAAATTCGTGTCGGAAAAAATTGAAGGCGTGCCGGAATGTTAAAGTCGTGTCGGCAAATTGAAGGCGTGCCAGAAAGTTGAAGTCGTGCCAGAAAGTTATAGACGTGCCGGAAAAATAAAGTCGTGCCGGAAAATTAAAATTGTGCCAGACAAAAACTGAGGTGGTGAAATATGAGATGGCACTAAAAGGGCTCGTACAAATGCGTACAACATCTTGCAACATCCAAAAATGTTGCAACAAAAATGTGACCGTTTTCATACCTGATCCAACACCATCCTTGCAACTCATTGCCACAGGGTGGCCAAACGTGTGCAACACGTCGCCCACAACACCAGGGACCTTACGCAATCAGGACGGCAACGCTAAGGAAAACTTCGATTAAAAAAATTAATTTCTACTCTTAGTTGGAATTTCAAAAATTGTTGCAGGAGCTCACTGTCTTATACGGCGCCACAGCTCAACTTCAGCATGACGTATAAAAGTAGCGTTCAGTTCCAAATGGAAATTAAAATAATTTGCCGTCGCGGTTTCAGTTCGCAGACGACGCAAGTTTTGGCGATTTCACGTTGTCGTTTTGCATAGAACGGCTAAGAAATGAATGGGCCACAAGACAAATGTGGATGACAAATGCTGAATAAATTTGTACCGGGCAGGTGAAAACCGCATTTTATCTTTTTAGTTTTCGTCATAAGAGATGTTATGCTTGTTTTCGATTTTGACATTTGGTTTTCTAATTAAGAAAGGAGTTTTATTTATTTACTTTCAATTTTAGTTTTAAAACTTCCTCTGGCCTCGAGGAGAGAGAGTTACTGTTTTGTGAAATGTTATTAAAATTACAAATGGTTTTTTGGCCGCGCTTAGTGATATCATGTCAATTTGAACATATTATTTCTCGGCAGAAAATGATAAAATGCGAAATCTAGGCAAGGAATATAGAACTCAAAACCAATCCCCTTAAATTTTAACTTTTTTCATGGGTGGAAAATTATCAGATCTAATTCGCTCGGAAAATTTTTCTGCGGAGTTTTTTATATTTTTGAGAAATTCAAAACGTCTTAAAAGAAGGCTGTTCTCAGCATTTGGCGCCTTTTTACCGTAGTTGCAGTTACAATAGTCAAAAGAAAAAAAAACATGATCAATAATAAATTTCTTGTTCCTATTTTTTTCTTGACGATGTATATAACAATTCTTCTATTAGTCGTAAAACGATCAAGAATTCATCTATGAATATCGCAACTTTTCGTCGTGGTATGAGTGTCTCGGGTGTTACTTTGAGAAAAAAAAAAGAAATGTATTTACTTTCTTAAATAAAAGAAATTGAAAGACTTGGTAATGATGGAAGGAATCGCACACACCCTGTGGAGCAGAATGATGACGAGAAATAACACGATCTTGATCCTCACAATACACGCACAGACAATAGTACCATAATAAAGTAAGTATCAGCTTAGATAAATTATTTGCCTAGCACAAATCAAACCTATACACGGGTTT